TTTTTTTTTTTTTTATCAGACTTTAAAATACTTTCCCCATCATTGATGTAAAACTAATATGCTTACTGAGACAATGTTTATTACCTCCTTTGCAAAGAGGAGTAACATTAGCTAACTTCCAATCACCTGGCACCTGCTTCAAGGACTTGCAAACAATAGTAGCATGTAGCTCACATATCCAATCCTTAAACTCCTTCAAAACACTTAGCAAAATATTATCTCGCTTAGTAGACTTATTCTTTAAAACTTTCTTAACAAGCTCAGAATTAATGTGATTATCTAATAACTGTTCGAGATAAGGAATATTGCTTAAATCTTCATTAGTAAAATTTAAAGAAAATCAAGAATCTAATAACTCAGCCATCACATATGAACCTTCCTTTATCATTCCCCAAAAGCCTTATTCCATACTAACATTCTGTTTACCATTAATGTATTGAAATAAGTCCTTATTGTTAATTTTGATATTTTTAGCCAACTTTTTTTTCCATATACTCTTTGATTTCCCTATTTTCTGTTTGACCAACTTTTTTGATGTTTTATAATCCTCCAAGTTTCTTGTCATAACAGTGAATTTAAATCTCTTAAATTTTAATGTTTTCTTAATTTTATCCTTTATACACTTTGTAGGCCACCCTTGTTTTTTACTTGCAGCCACATTTTTTGTTCTCTACAAGTAACATGTCTATCTTAAATATTTAAAAATTTATTTAAAAACTTTCACATTTGATTATTATCTTTAATTAATTTAGTTTCCCAATTCACAACAGATAATTCTTGTGAAGTTCATTCAAAACTTGCTTTTTTGAAATTTGTAACCAAAGTCTTATGATTCTTAATTTCCATATACAATAAAACATTAAATCTAATTGAGATATAGTTACTTGTACCCAAACATTCTCCAAATTCCATCATCTGAAACTACTTCTACATGAGAAATTAACAATAAATTTAAATACGATTGTTCCTTGTTGGTTTTCTGTTCAATTGGTTTATAAAACCATCCCTAAAATATTTTAAAACCTGTCTCCTCATCATTTGCATTTTCAAGTCTATATGCTTATGATCTCATTTACAGTCAAATTCTTTATCTCACTGTAGAGTTTTTCATTAATTTTGTCAGGTTCCTCTGTTGGTCTGTAACAAATTACAATCAAGTGCCTTCTCTCCCTATATCATCTAAAAAAACCAACACCCAAATAAATTCAATCTACTTTATATTATATTTGAGATCATCAATTTCAACAGGATATAGCTCACATTTTACATACAATGCCACTCCTTCCCTTCTTTTTAGTACTCTGTACCTATTAAATAACCTTGTATTTCAAACAAGTTTCATCAAAATTGTCTACATTTAACCAAGTTTCAGTTATTTCCATTACACTAAAATCTTCCAGTTCAAGTACTGATCTAAAGTAATTTATTTCTTATACTTCTAATATTACAATGATAACAAATTTGATTACCATTAAAATTATTTCTGTACTTTGTTTATACACACTCATTTTCTCTACATTTTATTTTTTCTGCATTCAGTTTACCCTTAAAATTAGTTCTTTACTTTGTTTATACACTAATTTTTCTGCATTCAGTTTATCCTGGATAATACCACTGTCCAATACTACTTTAAAGATGCCACACAGATGAGATAATAGCCCTTCCAAACAAAGCAGCCTCTACTATATTTAAATTAAAATCTCCTCTTCTAAAAAGCCTTCCTTTTCAAATTGAATTGAACCCACAAATCCAACCAGCTAATCTGTTCATTTTGCATATTAACCTAGGCCTAGCATACAGCCCCAGTGACCCATTTATAATTCCATGTCCACAATTAAGTATTGACAGTATCCCCAATACAATTGAGTTAAGGTTATTTTCTTTAAATGCCTTTATCAACCTCCTGTACTTTTCAATTAGCTTCTCTGATCTACCCTTTCCTATTTCATTGGTTTCTACATGCACAATAAAGACTGCATTACTGCTAGTACCCTTTACTATATCACTTGTTTTGTTGCTTTCCACCCCTATCCATGTGCCATGCTGTACCAAATGTACGAAATTCACATCGTTCAGTCAGCCTTTACTAGGTAGAAGGCCCATGGACCAACTAAGGTTAAGTATTTTTTCCTACTTTACCTTGTCATCAAATGTGCATTTATATACTTTTTCTCTAAAACCATAGTTGTGTTTTTGTTTATTTCAATCTCTCATACGGAGCCTCTAACTTTCTGGGGATCTCTGGCCTATCTTTAAACATTGTGAGAAGTCCCTATGACATCCAAAAAGAAAAAAAAAATATTCCTGGAACATGTGAACAGTAAGATTGACCCCAAAAAAGTGTGTCAAATATTAGCATATAAACTCATAAAATACCTTACTTTTTAGTCAGTATTAAAACAATAACCTCAAGTCATTATTTTTGTTGTGTGTGTTTATCTAGATTAGTATCTATATTATATACATTCCAAGAGTGGTTTTTAAGTTAAATGTTTCTTTTTAATGGTTCACATATACGTACATGTTTTTATTTTTTTATATATTCACATTTGCAGTTGGTAAAAAGAAATTAACAGGACCAGTTAGAATTTTTGCAAAGAACTGATTAGAAATTTTGGACCCTGAACTATAACCAAGTTTTTCATTCCCATCCTTCTCTGTACCTTTTTGTTTTCCTTTCCTGCCATAGTTTTTCATCTGCATAAGTTGAGTGGAATCTGTCAGTTAACAGAACCTGCTCATTAAAACTAAATCCATTACTTTTAACCCTAACAGTACTGTTTCTATCATTCTGAAAGTCATTATTAACTGCTGTATCCCTTGTATGTAATAGATTAGTTCTTGAAATCTTGCTGCTATTTCTCACAGTTTACACTTATTATCTATTGTCTCTACTCTATATAAGATACTCTAGAATTTCTTCTACAACCTACAAACAAGTTGCTCATCTTTCTTTTTACCAGCAGTGAATTAACAACTACATGCTTCAGGTCAATCCCAATATTTTCTATAGAATATTGAGGATCAAGGGTGTTTCTAGCATCCTCTCTTATAAAAACAGAAGAGAAGTAAACATTTAAAAGCTCAACCATCATATAGTCTTCAATGGAAAGCTAGCCATCAGCATCTCCATTTTGATAAACTTTTAAGATACTTGTTTTCTTGCTGTTAGTTTTTACATCATCTGCCAGCTGTTTCTCATAAACCCCTTTGGATTCTTAGTATTGTTTTTAATTAGATACTTAGCTTTCTTATATTTATTTAAAGCTTACATCCTATCTGTCGATTTAAACCTTTTAAACTTACGAGATTTTATTCTCAACTTTCTCATTTATGTCTTTTAGTGAGCCTATATGGTTGGATCTTCCCTGTTAACCTTTTTGTAGTTTTTGGAACATGCCTATATTGAATTAAATGCAAATTTTAAAATTTTCCCAAATCTGTCCTACACAACTTCTAACTCATTAATCCTCATGCACTGATGATAAAATCTTGTCCCATGGCCTCAAAATTGGCTTTTAAAAATCAGAAACTAATATTTCACCTCTTTTCATCACTACATGTAGCAAAGAATCAAAATTAATTGTGGAATGATCATTCTTCCCCCACTTCAGCTCTTCCATTTTCAGCCACAGCCTTATTAGGGCATGGTTAACAATAAAAACTTAAAATTAAATGCTCTCTGACTATTTGGTATAGAAAACCATCCTGAATCACTTCAAAAAATCTTCCTGCTTCACTATTTGACTTCATACAACCAATTATTGCATCAGTATTCTTAACAGTAGCAACCATGAAAATTACAATCAAGTCCACAATTCCCAAACAATCCAATCCTGGCACCTACTACACTCTATAAACTCAACCTATCTTATTCCTAAACTACCTCTAGACTCTAATCATAATGAAGCTTTGCTAGCTTGCTTAAAATGTTAAATTCTACTGTGATTAAAAGAAAATTATTTAGAGTAAGTTCAAGTACTGTAACATGTAAGCAAGACTCGCGTAGAACTTAAGTTATGTCAACTACAAGACGGTTAGTTTCTTAATCTTTGAGAGGTTGTTTAGGCAGATAGATTTCTACAACAAGCAGTTGCTGTCCATTTGAAACTTAGATTCATCATGAATACCAAATGTAGAGGACGACGTTTCGAAAGTCTTCCGCCTTTCGTCGTCAGGTTATTTTCTTGTACTTGTAACTACTACTGCTAGTTTTAGACCCCGTTTTTATGGGAAAATGTATCATTGTATGCAATAGAAACGACTCGTCTTCAAGAAAAATCACACTATGTAAGTATATTACTGCGAAGTGCGAGTACCGTAGTAATAAAAATTAAGGCACTTACCATTTAATTATAACCCAGTACGTAAGACGTCACAATCCCAAATAACTATCTTCACGCTTGTGAACTCGTGACGTCAGAAAATACTTTCTGAAACACACTGATAACAACTCTACTGCGAATGGATATTTATAGCATTTATATGTTAAATAACTTCTAATAGGTCAGACCTACTTTCATGATGAGGACGCTACAGAGACATGGTTAATATTGAGGATTTTCCCTTTACGTAACTAACGCTGCAAACGGCCTTTTTATTTATATAATACATGATATATTACAGTTTATTTTAATATTATGTAAATATTTATTCATATTAAATTTATTATACACTTATGGTATAGTATTTAAAATTCCAGAATTATTTAGTTATTATTCTCAACAATATAAATAATTGATTGGCAATGCTTTAATTTCGCCACATATATCAATTATGCTGTTAGTTTGTGTGATATTACCCAACAATTATATTGATAATATTTGTTTTTACATTTCCTTCTTTAATGACAGTGTAGTTTGAGTTTCTAATAAGAAGAAACGTAAAACATCTCGACCGCATACAACCGCCGACGAACAGAAACTCATCAGGCCGGTTCAGAATACAATTATTTGTGGTAATTTTGGTTTATACGAATAACAGCACACAGGTGAACTACCACCTCATAACAAGAGGTTCAAATATTTGGCTAGATGGCATTTTAATGTGAAAATAAGTGCAAAAGAGAGGAAACAAACATCTTGATGAAGTGCAACAAAAACATCGGGACATTGTTATAGCCAAGTTACACTGATAATTTGACCCAGTTAAGCATTAAATGATCCATTGGGTCTTGGAGAAGGAGCACCATTGAGACTTTGACCACTTATATGGACAACTTGCGCCATCTGCGAGGTAAAGCTTAATCTGTAATGGTTTTGTCAAAGACATACTCATGGATAAGTTTGTTGATGGAATTTTAATTGAATTGCATGATCATCCTACGACTGTTCATCTAGGTGTCTGAAAAATAATAGACAAAGTATTTAGACATGGTTATTGGTCTAATATGAGAAAGAACATTAAAAAATTATATGTGGTCATGTTTGTCAAATCACTAGATTCGACCAGAAGAGGCCAGCTGGATTTATGCAAAGCACTAAACTAATGGAACCTAGTGAGATAATAGGAGTAGACATCATGGGACCTTATCCTAAGTCTAGGACAGGAAATAGTTATTTGTTGGTTGTGACAGATGATTTCAGTAAATGGGTTGAATTATATCCTCTCAAACAAATAACTGCAAAGGTGATTATTAAAAACTAATTAATGAATACTTGTGTAGATATAGTATTCCGAAGACTCTTGTATCTGATAATGACCCACAATTTGTGCCTCATTTGATGGATGAAAGTTGTAAAGATATGTGAATTAAGCACATCTTTACAACTCCATATCATCCTCAGTCTAGCATTACTGAAAAAGTTAATAGAAACATTGGTAGAATGGTATCTGCTTATAATGAAAAGTATAATCAAACTTGAGATAATCATTTATCTGAATTTTCTCTAGCCATTGAAACTTCTATTCATGAGTCTGCAGGTTCCACTTCAGTCAAACTTCACTTGGGAAGCGGGATTTCCCTTCCTTGGGATCAACTGACAAAATACTCAACAGCATCTCAAACTATTGTTGCATCAGCGAGATCACGTGACTATTGTCACGCCACCTGCTTTCTAGAACTATCCCGTTCCTTCGGGAGTGCTCTAGCATTTACTAGATTGGAGGGTGGTCTGGTATATATAAGATGGTCACGGCGTGATGGACAATGTGTGTAGATTGTGAGTAATTGATCTGCAGTGAGAAAGTATTGTTGAAGTTAACGTTCGTTATAGCGTTTGTTTTAGCGCGAATGTTGAAATCAAGTGTATCGTGAAGTTGTATTCAGAAAGAACAAACCAGTTTTATTAAGTAAGGACTTGTGTCGCTAAAGTTTCGCCGGAACGAAGTTACGGAAAGTTAACTAGCGAACGGAGACGTAACAAATTGGTGTCAGAAGTGGGATAAAAAAAAGAAGAAAAAGAGAAGATGGAAACGAGAAGCGGCAAATCAAACTACAGCCTAGCAGACTTAA